GAAAAGAGTGCTGAATAACCCATGACTGCCAAAAGAAGAAACAGATACGTTTTGGAGAAAGTGCAGCTAGAGTGCTCCTTTGAGGTCCAGCTGACAATACTTCATCTCACATACTTTAGGCATGTTGCCAAGAGAGGCTATTCTTTGGAGAGGTCATCATGCTTGACAAAGGATAGGACAGAGTTAATCTCTGTTGTTTATAGGGCCTCTATGGGTCGTATTTGCCTTGATGGTACCTAATAACAACAACAGTATAGCTATCAAAGGCAGTACAAACAAAATGCCTTTTAGAGACAAGGACAGTGAAACTTCAAAGACGTAGCGCATGTCAAGAGGGGCCAGTCCTTGGAAAAAGACATCCTGCTGGGAAAGGCAGAGGGTTAGCAAAGAAGAGGACCATCCTCAACGACATGAATTGACACCATGACTGTGACAATGGGCATGAACATGTTGGAGATCACGAGGATCATGCAGGCTAGTGTCTGGCTCTGATCTGTTGATTGCAGTGGATGCTAGGAGTTGTAATCAACTCAACGGCGTAAAACAACAACATCTAGACTGAGTCAAGTATCAGTGTTTTTTGAAGATTTAACAAAACTGAAAACACCAAACCTGTTGCCATTGAGCCAAATCTTATTCATGGCAACCGAATAAATATAATATGCTGTTTCTAGTGTCACTGCTCTAGTTATTTGCTGCATCATGACTTAGGCACAAAGCAGCACTTCAGTGGGCTCAACCAGACATGAACTCTGTTGATGATTTTATTAATTTTTTTTTTAATGGCAGAAGTAGCAAAATCATCTGGACTTCCACCAGTGATTCTGGACCAAAAGGGTCTCCTGGAAGTCATGGACCAGTTAAAACGTTTGCCTTCAGGCTTGGATTCTGTGTTACAAAAAACTGTACCATGGGGAGTAGCATTTCATCATGCAGGTATTCCATATATTAATGTCCTCTTTTTTGTATTTGTGTGCATTTGATTTCTTAATGGCTGTGAATAAGTCTAGATTCAATTTTTTAAACTCTAGTAATCAAGCTTAAATAAAAGTCAAACAAACATATTTCACTGGAGAACTCCATATTGTATCAACTCAACTCAACTCTATGTATCATATGTAAGTGTTAAAAAGAAGGTGTTTTGGATAATTGGGGAAGTGAATTAAACTATTACTGTTCTTTTTTTTTTTTTTTTTTTTTTTT